CTACCGCACCTCAGTGCGCACTTCCACAGGGGCAACCCCGTTTTCTCTCGTATATGGCATGGAAGCAGTATTGCCCATTGAAGTAGAGATTCCCTCCTTAAGGATTTTAGCAGACGTCAAGCTAGATGAGGCCGAATGGATACAAGCCAGACTCGACCAACTCAATCTCATCGACGAGAAACGCATGACGGCCATCTGTCATGGACAATTATACCAAAAACGATTGAAAAGGGCCTTTGATAAGAAGGTTCGCCCACGACACATCCAAACAGGAGATTTGGTGCTAAGGAAAATTCAGCCAACTCACGTCGATCCAAGGGGAAAATGGGCACCAAACTATGAGGGTCCGTATGTAGTAAAGAAGGTTTTCTCCGGAGGGGCCTTGATCCTGTCAACCATGGATGGTGACGATCTCTCATCCCCTGTGAATGCAGATGCAGTTAAAAAATATTATGCCTAAAAGATAGACCCGGTGGACCCAAAAAGAAAATCCACGCAAAAATGGGCGTCCTGGTGGACCATAAAAATGGTTCAGGCAAAATTAGGGACTAAAAAAAAAGGGAGTATCCTGATAGGCTGAAAACCTGAAAAGGCGGCCTAGGCAAAAGTTAGGAATTCAAAGAGGCAGAACTGCATCATGAAAAGACGTGTGAATTATTCCTCGTAACCATCAAGCACTCAACTGAGGAAGATCAATTCGATTCTGGGCTCAGAAGCAAGGCGTGAAGGGTCTTCAGAGACATATGGGCCATAGCGGATTTGAAACTTGGCAGGGACCATGTTTCAACATTGTCTTAGCCTTTATTTTTCTTTTTTAAAAGCAGTTACCTCTTTCAGGAATTGCCTCCCTTTGTAATTTTCCCATTTATGGGTCTTCATCAATAAAATTACTTTCATCAAAACTTTTTCTGTTTTTATTTACCGTTTGGTTGCAAGTTTCATTTATTTGATGATAGGTTTTGCATATAATGACATTATGGTAAACTAGACTAAGGGATAACTTACCCTCTTGAGGTAACTAAAGGGTGACCATGACTCTAAGGAGTACGCAGGAACATCATTCTAAATCTTGTAACAACTTGACTGACAAGGTCGTCTAACCCAGCAGAGCAGACCATGAGCTGAAAATCTCAACGCATCCAAGTCCTTTATACATCATAAATAGATGATGTCGGGAAGTCAGGCTTATCTTTCACTTTCCCACCACCAAAGTCCGCCATGTCGGCACCTGTATTTCCATTGCCCGTCCGCAATCATACGCATCATACGCATCGCATTCGACATCATAAGCATCTTGCTTCATAAGCATCTTGCATCATATACATACCTATGATTACATCATACTTTCCTCAGCTCTTGCATCACCGCGTGTTAGCATTTGCATTTGCATCTCCATTCGTTATGGAACATCATTATCATCAAGCATTTACATATACGAGATCAGATCCAGGATCAATTTCGAAGATTTTCAAGATCCTAATCAGCCTAGTCAGGGGCATCTTTTCAAGACCATGGGTGTATTGCATGATGTATTGCAACCTTGTGGTTAATCAGACCTTCAAAATCAACATTCAGCCCAGACAGGGGCATCTCCAGTAAATCCATGGGTGATCCCCAGTAGATTGTCTCCAGCAGACTTCAGCGATAAGTGGCAATCTCTTGGGAGAAGCTTATCCATCTTCAGCGATAAGTGGCAATCTCTTGGGAGAAGCTTATCCATCTTCAGCGATAAATGGCAATCTCTTCAGAGAAGCTTATCCATCTTCAGTGATAAGTGGCAATCTCTTCAGAGAAGCTTATCCATCTTCAGTGATAAGTGGCAATCTCTTCAGAGAAGCTTATCCATCTTCAGTGATAAGTGGCAATCTCTTCAGAGAAGCTTATCCATCTTCAGCGATAAGTGGCAATCTCTTCAGAGAAGCTTATCCATCTTCAGCGATAAGTGGCAATCTCTTGGGAGAAGCTTATCCATCTTCAGCGATAAGTGGCAATCTCTTCAGAGAAGCTTATCCATCTTCAGCGATAAGTGGCAATCTCTTCAGAGAAGCTTATCCATCTTCAGCGATAAGTGGCAATCTCTTCAGAGAAGCTTATCCGTCTTCAGTGATAAGTGGCAATCTCTTCAGAGAAGCTTATCCATCTTCAGCGATAAGTGGCAATCTCTTCAGAGAAGCTTATCCGTCTTCAGTGATAAGTGGCAATCTCTTCAGAGAAGCTTATCCATCTTCAGCGATAAGTGGCAATCTCTTCAGAGAAGCTTATCCGTCTTCAGTGATAAGTGGCAATCTCTTCAGAGAAGCTTATCCGTCTTCAGTGATAAGTGGCAATCTCTTCAGAGAAGCTTATCCATCTTCAGCGATAAGTGGCAATCTCTTCAGAGAAGCTTATCCGTCTTCAGTGATAAGTGGCAATCTCTTCAGAGAAGCTTATCCGTCTTCAGTGATAAGTGGCAATCTCTTCAGAGAAGCTTATCCGTCTTCAGTGATAAGTGGCAATCTCTTCAGAGAAGCTTATCCGTCTTCAGTGATAAGTGGCAATCTCTTCAGAGAAGCTTATCCGTCTTCAGTGATAAGTGGCAATCTCTTCAGAGAAGCTTATCCATCTTCAGTGATAAGTGGCAATCTCTTCAGAGAAGCTTATCCCTCTTACATCCTTTTGGTGTCGGGTTTGCCTTGTTTCGCTCCATCATCCTTTTGGTGATGGGTCTGGCATCCTTTTGGTGTCATGACTAGCATGTTTTCCATTATCCTTTTGGTAATGGACTCCTATCATCCTTTTGGTGGTAGTAGCCGTGTGTTTTATCCCATCATCCTTTTGGTGATGGCGACCTGTTGCTACTTATAGTTGGCTCAGAGGTATACCTCATCCATCACTTTCAATTCCCAAACTTTCCTTTGCTTTTCGGACAAATCCAGGGTCTTCTTTATATCTAATTGCCTTCTACCTTGAAAGAGTGAGCGCCAGAGCCGTTCATTTTACTCGGTCTAAGCCAATTAGATAGGGGCATCTGTCATACCCTAAATTTATCCCACCTGTATAGTTTTCATTTGTTCATCCATTTATTCAAAAATCCAAAAAAAAATATGTTGTTCCTGCTCTAGGCGTTGCTAGGTTGAACTAAGTTGATCCAAGTTTTCATTTAAGGATTATCAAATTAAGAGAGGTGTGTATTGATTGAAGTTGATTGGTTTGGACCTGAGTTATTGATTAGGCAAAATTTTGTTCCCTGACTGAAGCCAGGGTGTACATAGTTCAAATGATGAGAGGACTGAGGGGTAAATCTGGGTTTATGCAGTCCTAATGCAGTGTTGTGTTACTCATTTGGTTCAGGGCTTGATGCAAGTGGTAGAGTTCGGAGTTGATCCATGACTGATTCGTGGTGGACTTATTACTTAAGAAGTTATTCATGGTTCTAAGCTCAAAGGTCCAAAATCGTTGCATAGAAGATTGTGTTTTTAAAAAAGGTCATTCAACTTCTGAGTAATACACTATTGATTTTCTCTAGTTCATGATAAGGCACACGGAATTATTACAGATATATCCATAAAGATACAAAACAAGAAGAGAGAAATTCCATTTTTGAAATAAAGCCCATCATCATTTTAACATGACCATTTGCACATAATTACCAAATATAATAATTACAAAGAAGAAATTGTCACTGTCCGGCCCATATACTTCAAGTTGCATCGGTGGTCTCTCATGATTCATGATTACACATTGCCTAAAGGTTAGCTCATATCAACATCACATAAGCTGTGAAATTCACATTACAAAGCCATTCATGGTTGTAAAGCAATTGAGAAAAAGAAAGGACAAAAGGAAATGCAGCGTGATTCTCCATAAGAGTCCAACATGGTTTATGCTAACCATTACCTCAAACCAGTACTACAAAGCCTGCAACAACAAAAAAAGAGCAGAAATATCAATTACCATACACAGCCAACAAATCAGGAACAACTTGTACCATAGCATGGCCCCACACAATTTTTAATATTACAAGTTATTAGAAAGGAGAGGAACATGGCTATATCTAAGAGCCACTTCAAGTTTACCTGTCCTACAATTTGGTAATACTTGCTACACAAAAAACAACAGCACAGAACATTGGCGCTCCAATGGGCACTTATTAGATAAGACAGAAGAATTGCAGGCTGTTGTGCACCCAAATCCAGCTACCTTGTGTTTTGATAAGAGACCCCACAATGCCGTACACACCACACCCTATACTACCATCAAACCAAATCCTGCAATGCCTGCGACCTGTACGACTTGCAGCCAGCACCAACGCCGCTCCAACCACAAAACTGTTTCGTACCAGCGACACAGCTCATACGAGACAACACGCCTCTTCATTCTGCAGAGTGTACCGACTGTTTTGGAGCCACAAAATAGTACTTCCACCCATTGCGCAAGGCTGCCAATAACAGCTACAAAACCTGTGAGATAAGAAAAAAAAACAGAATAAAAAATAGGAGAAGAAAGTGAAAATTCTGAGAAAAAAACTCTCCAAGACCGCGCAACCAATTCACACATATCTCATTAAGAACTAAAAAAGGCATATGGTGCTCCTTCGAGGTGTTATGTAATTGACAAGGGGAATATGGAAAAATGATTTTGCCACAAGAAGAATTTCGGGTTACCTAGCCAGTGTATGTAGGAGCAGTGAATTACAAAGCAAATGTTAAATTTTTCATGGTATGCCACCACTATCCGTATAGTACAGCAAACAATACAGACCTGCTAAAGCAAATTTCAATCACCCACCACAGATCTGTTCCCTCCATTTTCAGCTTCATTCAATACAGCTCTTCTACTTCTGATTCTACTTTAGATCTAAACATTCTGGATTAACTTGTAAGGTGGACTGTGATCTAGCTTGGGAGTTTTGATGAAGTAAGGTTAATTTACAAGCTTTTCAGAGTCATATATATGCTCACAGTGGTTGGATATAATCCATCAGAAGTTTGCCGAAGAGATACTTGGGATAATCCTGCAGAATGTCATTCCGTAGCATAGTTTGTGACGTTCGTGATAGTTTTGGGAGCTTATCTAGGCGTAGTTTTGATGTCAAACTTATTGGTCATCATCATAGAGGAAAATCTCATGGTTCGGTACAGGATCTGCATGATCAGCCGCTTGTAATTCAAAATAGTTGCTGGGCGAGCTTACTCCCAGAATTACTCTTTGATGTCATTCGACGGCTAGAGGAGAGTGAGAATACTTGGCCTTCACGGGAGCATGTAGTTGCTTGTGCTTCTGTTTGCCAGTCTTGGAGGAATATGTGCAAGGACATTGTTAAGAGCCCTGAGTTCTGCGGCAAACTTACATTCCCTGTGTCCCTGAAGCAGCCTGGGCCGCGAGATGGAATCATTCAATGCTTTATCAAAAGAGATAAATCTAACTTAACATACCACCTATTCCTTTGTTTGAGCCCCACTTGGCCAAATGGAAAGTACACAAAAGGAGCTAAATATGGGAAGCAGTTTGAGAAATATTTCAACCCTGATATATCCAAAGCTTACAGAAACATCGACATGGATACGCGCACTATAAATCAAATAATTGCCAACCATTTTTATCGCCAGGGTCTTTTTGATGTTGGGGACCATTTTCTAAGTGCAGTTGGAGAACCTGAACCTGCTGCAATTATGAAATCTCCATTCCTGGAAATGTATCAAATACTCCAGGCCATGCAGAATCAGAACCTGGAGCCAGCACTCAACTGGGCTGTGACTAATTCTGACAAACTTGCTCAAAGTGGATCAGACATTGTGTTGAAACTTCACTCGATGCAATTTGTAAAAATACTTCAAAATGGTGGAAGTAGAGATGAAGCCCTTCATTATGCAAGAACTCACCCTTTCTCCTTTTGCTAGCAGTCATATTGCTGATGTCCAGAAGCTTATGACTTGTCTTCTGTGGCCTGGAAAGCTTGATAAGTCTCCATACCCTGCGTTACTTTCCCCATCTAACTGGGATAATTTGGCTGAGGAACTTAAAAGACAGTTTGCAATCTTTTGGGGCAGTCATACAACAGCCCATTGAGCTTATTGTAGCACGCAATGCAAGGTAATGATCAAGATGGATATATGCAGAATGGCCAAGGCTACAATCAGATGTGGCATCATTATTACTACCAGCAGCAGCAGTTGCAACTACAACAATATGCTCAATTGCAACAACAATCACTCCACCATCATGAGCAGCACACTCATAGCAGTTGCAGAACCGCGGAACCGTTACTTTGTACATATGGCCGTGCACTCACCTGTAAAAGAGAAAAGAACATACATGAGTTGTTACGCTAAAGAGTGCACAATTATAGGTCGTAAATATAAATGAAGGTTCTCGTATACATCAAGCAAATTATCCTCACCAGAATCAATAGGTGAACAAAGTTTGACATGCTTCCCGCTGTTATAAAGGATTCCCAGCTGTTAACCTTAAAAACTCTAAGTGGAAAGACTGATACCTGTTGTGCAATAGAGAGCTTATTGTGAGTGTTTATACTAGACAGTAAAATCACATTTTTACTAAGCAGTAAAACTAGGAATGATATGGTTGTGGTAAAATTTCTTTATCTCACTACAGACAAAAGAGGAGATTGAGTAAATTGTACTACTTTACCTCAATCCTCGGCATATATAATGGTGTGAAGTGACAGCAAAGAGGGGGCAGCCTCAAAAACCCTAGCCGCCAGCCTCTTGAGAGACTATCTTCAACTCTCTTAAACCCAAAAAAATACCTTCTACCTCCTTCAACAAATCCCAAAGGAAATCTTCCATTTCCATCTTCAATCATCTACCCCAAAGAAAAACCTCACACAAACCGCAACACACTTTCTTCAACAGCTAGCAACCTTCCATCCTCTATAACATCAATCCTTCTTCATAATACCGTTCCATTTTCTTCAAGAAAACACACTTCTGCAAACTTTCTTCATTTTTTTTTTCTTACCTTCAAACTCACCAAAATCGTAAATCCTTTTAGAACCCTAATCCCCTCTTCATTCTTCTTCAAATCCTCAAACAAAACTTTTCAATAAATCTTCAATCCTCAAAACGCATAAACCGAGCTTCATCCCCAACCACGACTCTCAACCAAATCAAACCTATATACCAATCCCCAACCCAACAGAAGCGCCACCGAATTAGAATGGGAGATAAAGAAGATACAAAATGGAAATGAAAAGATTCACAACCAAGATCAAAACCAAACCTGAATGAACTGGATGATAGGTCGAACACGAGAGAAGGTTGGAAGCGATTCATCACCCTTTTGCTACTCGATGTATTTTGTTGAATTTTCTTGCTGGGAGATTTGTGGTGTACACCGTGGTTTTGTTTCTCTAAACTCATTTTGTTGAACGTGATTGTTAGGTTATTTCACTTCATTTTAAGCTTTGGTGGTCGATAATGAATTTGACTGTGATTTCCATCTCTCGATCCGTTTTTCTTCTTTCTTTTTTTGTTTACATTGGTGCAGGTCTGGGCCGCGTGGAGCCTGTTTGTTTTTAAGTTTTATTTTTGGAGGTGATGGGCCTATAGCCCGTGTGATCCTCTTATGTTTTACACTCTGTTTTAATTCATAAACCCCATGGTTTTGTTTTCATTTTGATGAGTAAATACATTTTTTTTTTTTTATTATTTATTTTTTTCGTAGACATTATATAGTATATCTTCATTGTTATTTCTTTTAGAATTTATATGTGTACAAACTATTTTCTAGGATTTATTTTATGTTCATATTTCTTTAAACATTTCTATCATATTGTTTCTAGGACTTTAGATCCATTTTATATTAAAGTATTGAGATTTTCTTTTAGAAGGTAACTTCATTTCACATTTGTCATTGGGCATGTCGTCTCATTTTCATCTGTTTGGGTCGATGACGAGACCTCCGTAATTCATTACCAGTCAAATTATTGATGAGTAATGTTGGATCTGAGACCACCTATTTTCTCTCTTCGTCACTTGTCCCGACTCGATTCAAAAAAAACATTGTCAAACCATTTTTTAAAATAATTTCTTTGTATTGAATTAAAATGAGGGGATTAAGTGTAGACTTTCTTCCTCTCCGAGTGTTGGGATGCCCACTGTAGTGAGGGTGGTTCCGACACTCGTCTTTCAATACGAAGACGCTTCCCGTCCGTCTTCAAATCTCATCTCCTTAAAATCGATTCTTTGTGTTGAGCTAAAGAGAGGATTGGGTGTAGACCTCTTCTTCTTCGAGCATAGGGATGCCCACTGTAGTGAGGGTGATCTCGACGTTCGTCTGTCAATACAAAGACGCTTCCAACATTTCCTCATAGAAACCTCGGTCTCGTACCAAGTCCGTTTTCAAACCATAATAGTTTGATTTCTCTTTGTATCGAATTAAAAGAGGGGATTAAGTGTAGACTTTCTTCCTCTCCGAGTGTTGGGATGCCCACTGTAGTGAGGGTGGTCTCGATACTCGTCTTTCGATATGAAGACGCGACTTTATCCACCATCTCGCTTTCACAACTTCCTTCCACAATTTTCACACCTAAAACCTCGGTCCTGTACCGAGTGCATTTTCAAATCCTTTCGTAACAAAAGCTTGAATGGTCGTGGAGTGGTTAGGCGTAGGCCTTCTCCTATCCCGAGTGCTGACGTTTGCCGTAGGGTTCTCTGTCGCAAAGTACTTACCATTCAAAACCTAAATCATCATTAATAAAAGAATGAAGTTCTCTTCGCATTGAATTAAAGAGAGAGGATTAAGTGTAGTCTTCTTCCTCTCCGAGTGTTGGGATGCCCACTGTAGTGAGGGTGGTTTCGATGCTCGTCTTTCAATACGAAGACGCCTCGTTCGCCACACCCTTTTATAACAAAAACTTCGAGATAGCGAATTGGGTACTACCCGTAGGGGTTACTATCCGAGGACCTGTCTCGCTCCTTAAAAAACAATCCAATCAATCAAACGTGACTTCTTGCCCCGTGCGGCGAAAACTAATCAATCTTTCAAAAGGATATGTTATGTCCGTTCTACCGCAAACAGGTAACGCATAAGCCTCCTCACATGCGAGCAGCAAAACACCTAAACTGCTAGAATGCGCACGATAGCATCATCCATAAAAACATCAACAAACCGTAGGCCGAACTACGGCTGCTCTGATTCTTTACTTTTTTCAAGTAAAGATACGTAGGCACAAGGGCCACAATCCTTGCCGAGCACAATCCCCCTTATATCTGTAGTTCCCCGAACTACGTCGACTCTGACTTTCTCACATTTATTGAGAATACGTAGGCATAGGACTGCAAAGTCCTACCGAGTCCGTTCTTTCTCTTTTCTTCCCTGTTCTCTCTTCCCTCCTAACTTTCTTGGTTTCTAAACCCTCTTTCTTTACCCGATGGAACACTTCTTATAGCATAATGTTTAAGCAAATAAATTCACACATCGACAAACAAAAGGTTCCCATCGAGTACGATGGATGTGAGGGGTGCTAATACCTTCCCCTCGCATAACCGGCTTCCGAACCCGTTCTTGGTCGCGAGACCATCTTATCCTTTTCTTTTCTTAAGGTTTTCTCGATATTTTCCTTTCCCCTCATGGGATAAATAAAGTTCGGTGGCGACTCTTCTGTCTATCCTTTTCGCCTCCCCGTCGTTGCGCGATGCATTTTTTCGAGTAGCGACAACACTATGATGAAACCTTTTCACCAGTTGTAATGCTTAAATCTATTCAGATTTTACTTGCTATCGCTGCATATCATGATTATGAAATATGGTAGATGGATGTCAAGACTGCTTTCCTTAATGAGAATTTTCTTGAGGATGTGTACATGACACTATCTAAAGGATTTGACATATCAGGAGAAGCCTAAAAGATATGCAAGTTACAACGATCAATCTATGGATTGAAGCAAACATCCAGAAGATGGAATCTTCGTTTTGATGAAACTGTAAAATCATACAGATTCATAAAGAATAAAGATGAGCCTTGTGTCTACAAGAAGCTTAGTGGGAGAATGATCGTGTTCCTGGTATTATATGTAGATGACATATTACTCATTGGAAACGATGTCCCTACCTTGCAACAAGTAAAAATTTGGTTAGGGAAATGCCTTTCGGTGAAGGACCTTGGTGAAGCAGCATATATATTAGGAATTAGGATCTATAGAGACAGACCACAAAAACTTCTTGGCATAAATTGAAGTACATACATAGACATAGTGTTAACACGCTTTAATATGCAAGATTCCAAGAAAGGATTCATACATATGCAACATGACTTATGTCTGTCAAAAATATAACTCCTTTCAACTAAAGAAGAAAGAGTTCACATGAATAAGATTCCATATGCATCTGCAATAGGATCTATCATGTATGTCATGTTATGTACTTGACCAGATGTCTCGTATGCTTTAAGTGCAACCGAGTAGGTACTAATCTAATCTCGGTGATGCTCACTGAGTAGCTGTCAAGAATATTCTTAAGTACTTGAGAAGGACTAAGGGCTTGAGAGGGTCACACACATAAGGACAGATGGATAAGAGGTAGAGTAAATAAGAAACACCGTAACGTACGATACACATAAGTAAATGTAGAACACCGTAAGGTACAATGTATTTAAGTAGAATACAGAATATGGTAAGGTACCAAACACTTAAGTGATATACGGTACACCATAAGATATGGTGCACGTGCACTTAAGTGGGATTTTACCTTGCAACCCACACAAGTGGTTCTATAAATAGAACCCTTGTGCAGAAGCACTCACTCTTGATAAAAATTCAGACTGTGAAACTCTAACCTTAATTTTCTTATCTCTCTCACTCAAAGCCTTCAATCGTAGCACCTAGCACTAAGACTAAAGGAATCTGTTCGTATGGACTGAGTAGAGGCATTGTTCATCA